TGAATTATTTGTTTTGATTCATTTGCTGTAAGCTCACAGTTGTATACTAATAGGACATTCTCTAACGTTATTTTATTCATACTCTCTCCTCTCATCATTTTGTGTCTCATCAACGTTAATTTCCTATTGACATTCAAATTATTGTAAATTCACATTAGAAAGAAAAATGCCGTCAATACGTGTTGCATTTTCTGACTTTGCAAACATTGCTGTTGTAATGAGAATGTTCAATTCTTTTCCCAGACATCGATGAATGTGCAACAAATGCATCTTCCTGCCAACAAATCTGCAACAACACCATTGGCAGCTATAGCTGCAGCTGCGAGTCTGGATACACAATCAACAGTACCAATGCATTTCTTTGCGACGGTATGATTTTTTTTGTTGATTCATTTGCTGTGAGTTTCCCTTTGAGAGCGGTTAGGATTGCTCTAACTTTCCTTCAATTACACATGTTCTCTCAATACTTCGTCTCTGATCAATATTAATTCTTATTGACATTAAATTTTTCTACTTTCACCTCCGAAGTAAAAATGCCCAGAATTCGTATTGTATTTACTGTCGTTGCAAACTTCTTTTCTTCTGATGAACATCTTCATTTCATTTCTCAGACATTGATGAATGTGCAACAAATGCTTCCTCCTGCCAACAAATCTGCAACAACAACATTGGCAGCTTTACCTGCAGCTGCGAGTCTGGCTTCATAATCAACAGCACCAATGCACTCCTTTGTGATGGTAATAATTATTTGTGTTCATTGATTTGCTGTGAGCTTGCCTTTGCATACTGACAGGATATTCTCTAACTTTCTTTTATTCACACGCTCTCCTCTCAGCATTTTGTGTCTCATCAATATTCATTTCTTAGTCACATTCAAATTATTGTAAATTCAACGTAGGAATAAAATTGCCCTCAATATGTGTTGGATTTTCTGACTTTGCAAACATTGCTGTTGCAATGAGAATGTTCACTTCTTTTCCCAGACATCGATGAATGTGCAACAAATGCATCTTCCTGCCAACAATTCTGCAACAACACCATTGGCAGCTATAGCTGCAGCTGCGAGTCTGGATACACAATCAACAGTACCAATGCATTTCTTTGCGACGGTATGATTTAATTGGTGATTCATTTGCTGTGAGTTTCCCTTTGAGAGCGGTTAGGATTGCTCTAACTTTCCTTCAATTACACATGTTCTCTCAATACTTCGTCTCTGATCAATATTAATTCTTATTGACATTAAATTTTTCTACTTTCACCTCCGAAGTAAAAATGCCCAGAATTCGTATTGTATTTACTGTCGTTGCAAACTTCTTTTCTTCTAATGAACATCTTCATTTCATTTCTCAGACATTGATGAATGTGCAACAAATGCTTCATCCTGCCAACAAATCTGCAAAAACACCAATGGCAGCTTTACCTGCAGCTGCGAATCTGGCTACACAATCAACAGCACCAATGCATTCCTTTGTGATGGTATGAATTATTTGTTTTGATTCATTTGCTGTAAGCTCACACTTGTATACTAATAGGACATTCTCTAACTTTATTTTATTCATACTCTCTCCTCTCATCATTTTGTGTCTCATCAACGTTAATTTCCTATTGACATTCAAATTATTGTAACTTCACATTAGAAATAAAATGCTGTCAATACGTGTTGCATTTTCTGACTTTGCAAACATCGCTGTTGTAATGAGAATGTTCAATCCTTTTCCCAGACATTGATGAATGTGCAACAAATGCATCATCCTGCCAACAAATCTGCAACAACATCATTGGCCGCTATAGCTGCAGCTGTGTATCTGGCTACAAAATCAACAGCACCAATACAACCCTTTGTGATGGTAGAAATTATTTTTGCTGATTAATTTGTTGTGAACTACCGTTTGCAGATGGATCGGATTTGCTTTAAATGTCATTAATTCACACTCTCTCCTCAGTGTGTTGTTTCTCATCAATATTCATTCTTATTGACATTCATATTTTTCTACTTTCACCTCCAAATTAAATATGCCCTGAATTCGTGTTGCATTTTCTGAATTTCCAAACGTCTGTTCTTCTGATGAACATCTTCGTTTCATTTCTCAGACATTGATGAATGTGCCACAAATGCTTCATCCTGCCAACAAACCTGCAACAACACCATTGGCAGCTATCGCTGCAGCTGCATATCTGGCTACACAATCAACAGCACCAATTTATTCATTTGCGATGGTATGGTATTTTCTGATAATTCGTTCGCTGTGAGTTTCCCTTTGAGTACGAATTTGATTCGCTCTAACTTTCCTTCATTCATTCAACAAAAATTGAGCCTGCACTTTCATAGCGCTCGACACGGATGGAAGCATTTCAGATCGCTTTGACTCTCATGTCCACTTCTTCTCCCAGATATTGATGAATGTGCAACAAATGCATCATCCTGCCAACAAATCTGCAACAACACCATTGGCAGCTATAGCTGCAGCTGCGTATCTGGCTACACAATCAACAGCACCAATTTATTCATTTGCGATGGTATGGTATTTTCTGATAATTCGTTCGCTGTGAGTTTCCCTTTGAGTACGAATTTGATTCGCTCTAACTTTCCTTCATTCATTCAACAAAAATTGAGCCTGCACTTTCATAGCGCTCGACACGGATGGAAGCATTTCAGATCGCTTTGACTCTCATGTCCACTTCTTCTCCCAGATATTGATGAATGTGCAACAAATGCATCATCCTGCCAACAAATCTGCAACAACACCATTGGCAGCTATAGCTGCAGCTGCGTATCTGGCTACACAATCAACAGCACCAACGGATTCCTTTGCGATGGTATGATTTTTTTTGATGATTCATTTGCTGTGAGTTTCCCTTTGAGAACGGTTATGATAGCTCTAACTTTCCTTCAATTACACATGTTCCTCTCAATATTTTGTCTCTGATCAATATTAATTCTTATTGACATTACATTTTTCAACTTTCACCTCCGAAGTAAAAATGCCCTGAATTCGTATTGCATTTTCTGACGTTACAAACTTCTGTTCTTCTGATGAACATCTTCATTTCATTTCTCAGACATTGATGAATGTGCAACAAATGCTTCATCCTGCCAACAAATCTGCAAAAACACCAATGGCAGCTTTACCTGCAGCTGCGAATCTGGCTACACAATCAACAGCACCAATGCATTCCTTTGTGATGGTATGAATTAATTGTTTTGATTCATTTGCCGTGAGCTCCACCTTGTATACTGATAGGATATGCTCTAAATTTCTTTTATTCACACTCTCTCCTCTCATGATTTTGTGTCTCATCATCATTCGTTTCTTATTGACATTCATAGTATTGTACCTTCACATCAGAAATAAAAATGCCCTCAATACGTGTTGGGTTTTCTGACTTTGCAAATATTTCTGTTGTAATGAGAATGTTCAATCCTTTTCCCAGACATTGATGAATGTGCAACAAATGCATCATCCTGCCAACAAATCTGCAACAACACCATTGGCAGCTATAGCTGCAGCTGCGAGTCTGGCTTCATAATCAACAGCAACAATGCACTCTTTTGTGATGGTAATAATTATTTGTGTTGATTCATTTGCTGTGAGCTTGCCTTTGCATACTGATTGGACATTCTATAACTTTCTTTTACTCACACTCTCTCCTCTCAGCATTTTGTGGCTGATCAATATTCAATTCTTATTCACATTCAAATTATTGTAAATTCAATGCAGGAATAAAATAGACCTCAATATGTGTTGAATTTTCTGACTTTGAAAACATTGCTGTTGTAATGAGAATGTTCAATTCTTTTCTCAGACATCGATGAATGTGCAACAAATACATCTTCCTGCCAACAAATCTGCAACAACACCATTGGCAGCTATAGCTGCAGCTGCAAGTCTGGCTACACAATCAACAGCACCAATGCATTCCTTTGCAATGGTATGATTTTTTTTGATGATTCATTTGCTGTGAGATTCCCTTTGAGTACAGTTAGGATAGCTCTAACTTTCCTTCATTCACACACGTCCCTCTCAGCATTTTGTGTCTGATCAATATTAACTCTTATTGACATTTAAAAATTTCTACTTTCACCTCAGAAGTAAAAATGCCCTGAATTTGTGTTGCATTTTCTGACTTTGCAAACCTTGTTTTTCTGATGAGCATCTTCGTTTCATTTCTCAGACATTGATGAATGTGCAACAAATGAATCATCCTGCCAACAAATCTGCGACAACACCATTGGCAGCTTCAGCTGCAGCTGCAAATCTGGCTACACTATCAACAGCACCAATGCATTCCTTTGTGATGGTATTAATTCTTTGCATTCATGCTCATTGATATACTGTGAACATGTCATATCCTACCAAACTAGTGATCATTTTTCTTTATTTTACTAATTCTTTCGGAAAATCACATGCATCTATCAATCACTAGTATATAGCTCATAAAATGATATACTACTCATTAATGTACCTGTAGCTCAGTGGTTAGTGTACCAGCCCCTCAAGCGAGACCTGGGTTCTATTCCTGGTAGAGTAAAATGTTGGCCAAGTTTCCTTACTCCACACGTCTCTGTTTAGCTTGCAGTAAGTAGGAACCTGGTTGGTAGTCGATTGGCTGATCGCTTATCCAGGGATAATAATCCCTCAAAAAAAAACAATGATAATGTGTTCACTCAAATCACGGCTGTTTATGGAACACTGCTGTGTGCAATTGGTTGTCACGTTTCACCCGCAAATATACAGTCAATTCACTTAACACTCTATTCTGTGAAGCGTTTTGAGACATCTAGAAGATGTGAAAAGAGCTATGTCAAATGCAAAGGGTATTATTATATTATTAGAGTAGAATTGGTGTACAAATATATGATTTCATATCAGGTATTGAATTGCATACAATTATTATTGCATATTCTGACATTGGAAACATTGTTACTGTGATGAGAATCTTCATTTACTTTCCCAGACATTGATGAATGTGCAACAAATACATCATCCTGCCAACAAATCTGCAAGAACACCATTGGCAGCTATGAATGCAGTTGCCAAACAGGGTACACCATCAACAGTACCAATGCATTCCTTTGTGATGGTATGATTTTTTGTGCTCATTGATTTACTGTCAATTTCCCTTTTCATATTGAAATGACATCACTTTTCTTTCATTCATTCACACATTCTCGTCTCAAGACAGATTTTTTTTGATGGAAGGTGGAGGGAGAGATGGGGCCAAAAGAGTGTGCGATGGGTGCCATGGTAGGAGAGGGTGATGAAGGAGGCATGCGGGGTGTATATCTAACAATGCACCACTCTATTTGTACAACATAGTTGGAGCAGCCTAGTTAAGAGAGCTCAAGTTGTACTTTGGCACCAAAACCCAGAATTTTCTGATACAGAAACAATTTTGCTTCTGAACGAGACAACATAATAACCACAAGATTTCATTTATAGAGCGCCTTTCACGTCGGGAGGACGTCCCAAGGCACTGGACAGTTGGGTCAGGACCCGAGCATTGGGGGGAAATGGTCAGGGTGAGGGGAGGGAAGGGAGGGAGCGAGGAGGGGATAGAGAGTCGAGAGGGGAGCTGAAGGCACGGTCAAAGAGAACAATAGTGAGCTGCAACAAGCTAATATTAAATCTGAAGTACAAATCTTTTCTTAAAGTTAATAATTATTAAGTGAATTATTATGGACACCTTGTGTAGAAAGCAAAATGTCATCAATAAATTAATTCAGATGACTGTAGTATAAATGGGACTCTACACATTCTGTTATGTGTTACTTTTATTGCGTACTTGTCAATGAAACAGCATTCTATTTGTCTTTATTGAGCAACAATTGTTTTTATTGTGAAAACAGTGACTGAAGCCCAAAAATCAAGAGCTGGTTAGTCTGTAGTACTGATAGTGTTTGGGTGCTGGGACCTGATCTACAGCACCCTGACTACAGAAAAGGGTGGTGAAACATGCAAATATTCATCCACTCATGTGCTTGGCTTCTATTGATTACTATTGGCATTAATCACTTCTTGTGTTATTCACAGAGCTGAATACCCTCACTTTAAGAATCACTGTTCAAAATGCAAAGATAACACCGGAGATCAAACAGAAGGTTTGCTATGTCAAAAAAACAAATATGTAGAATTTGTGATAATCACTGACTTTTAAGAAATATAAAAGCTAAGTATCTTGTGTAAAAAAAATATTTCTCAAACAAATCTCCTCCCTGAAGGTACTTATTCAACCTGGGGTACACTTTTACAGTTGGTACTCCAAAGTAGCCATAGTTCAAGTATACAAATTGAGTTTTGGCGGGTTATGGGATCATAGAATCATAGAATTATACAGCACAGAAGGAGGCCATTTGGCTCATCGTGTCTGTGCTGGCTTTTTCAAAAGAGCTATCCAAATGAATCCCACTGCCCTGCTCTCTCCCCATAGCTCTGCAAACTTATCCTCCTCAAATAATTATCTACTTCTCTCTTACTGTGATCATGGGGAGCAACACACAGTTGAATTGTATTGTGTCCTGAACCAAAGGTGCACATTATAATAAACAGACATCCAAACACTTTCGTTTGCAATCACCAAAATAAATTAAAATTTGGTCAGATAAAAAATGGCTGTTCTTTTCTCATTCGTCATAGATGCATAATTAACAAGGTGCAGGCCAGTGCTTAAAATAAAAAATGTTTACATACTGCTCAGAATTAGATCAGTTAGGATCTTTATGTTATAGAACCCGTTGGAAGTAAGCAAACATCCTTAGCAGCACATTGTTACACCTTGTGTTCCTTTTGAATTCACAGACTAGGTTGATTCTCCAATACAGTGCTCAGGAAGAGCTGCATTGAGGCGCTGCCCTTTGGATGAAATGCTAAACCAAAGTGTTGTCTGCCTATTTAAGTGGATGTTCACAAAATATGCTCACAAAAAACAGTCAATCCAAAGTTATATTCTGTGAAGCGCTTTGTCTTGATGACAAGATAAGGCGCTATATCAAATGAAAGAATTATTATTATTACTGCATCTGTTAGAGATCCTATGGGACTATTCGAAAAGTGAAAGAAATTTCACAGAGTGTCCTGGCCAATAATTCCCCAGATAAATTTAGTCATTTATTTCATGGCTTTTTGTGGGACACAGATACAAATTGGCTGCCATGTAGCCTACAAAATACACTTTACAGTAAATGTGAAGCACTTTGAGACTACCTCCCACTGTGAAAGATAGTATATCAAATGCAAGAATTATTTTATTATCTTTGACCAATCCCCAATAAAACATAATTATCTCTGGGTTGCAACTTTACCAGTCTACCTGAGATCATTATACAGTATTTGCTATTTTTATGTAAGCTATACATTCACATTCACTCGGAGTTAAACAAAGAACATAAAACTGAAATGTAATGTACGTCAGTGTTGTGCAATGTGTAATGTGTATAAATCTATAGACAGTGGAACATCTTAATAACATTGATATTGCATTTCTTTTGACCAGCTAAAGGAAGAAATGGAAATGTATCTACAATCCATTAGAAAAGCAATGAATAACAGATAATTGACAGAAGACAGCGAATCAGATCTCCTGAAGTATACTACTTTGTCTTAACCTGTTTTTTGCACTACAAGACACACAAGAAAATATTATTTTGTTGGGTAAAATCATGTCATATTAAATTAGACTCATTTTCCCTTACCTCTGCTGCTTAAGGACGATAATCATGTTATGGATTTATTCACATTAATGGAACTGTCACTTCCTTATAACCATACTTCATTGATTAGCCATATGAAACTGTAATAAGTATTAATATTGCTATTTCAATTGCTGTTAATATTTCTTACAACTCACTTCATATGATTTAATCTTAGTGTTTCACAGTGCTTTGAAAAAAAAGGATTCCAAAGACCCAGTCTTAGCTTGTAAGACAATTTTATCTTATGATCTAAAATTGCACACATATTTGTGGAAATTTGTTAAGTTCAATCTTAAGCTGTAAGTGGTTAGTTTTAAAAAGTGTGGAAAATTAGTCTCCAAATTAATACTGAATTTAAGAATTTTCCACAATTCTGCACAATCTTATACTTAGGATGAAATTGGTTTACAGATTTCACAGATGAAATTTCAGGGCTATTTAGCATAGAAAATACGTCTTACTTTTCTAAATAAGGCCTATTTACAAATAACATCAGGATTGGATCAACACTCAATTGGAGATACCAAGGTGATGTAGTGGATATCTTTATATGAGATTTATTGTCCTCAATATAACAGATCATACCATAAATCTTGGTGATAGACTTGCTAAATTGGATGCAGCTGGTGACCTTGACAAACTTCCATGAGATGATGAATCAAAAAACAAAATACTAGCTGTTCTCCCTTTCATTGATGCACAAAGATTGAATAATGTTATAGGTTGCAAAGTAAGAAATTTCCAATTCTGGATGTGCCTATTTCCATCGTCAATCTTAACTTCTGTAGTTGCTCTATAAAGGAGGTTTATTTTTGAGAGTTTAAAATACTTCATGGAAACATATGAGAGATGCTTCAGAAATACAAAGACAGACTAGGGGATTAAATAAATTGGGGATAAGTCTAATTTCAAGCATTTCTGGAAGCAATTGAAAAATAATCTAAAAATACAATTTTTTAAAAAGTCCACGTGCAATGTGGTTTTCTCTGCAAAGGAGAAAATGAAGGATAATTTGAATATATGTGATAGAGTAGCTACTTTAAATTTTTTTCAAGTTTTTATAGTTTCCTTTCAAATTCTGCTATCAATAGTGGTGTGTGCTAAATCATTCCATGTTTTAATTTATACTTATACATAGAGTCACTACACTTTACAGTAAAACCCTTTGAAGTGCTTTGAGCCATTGACGATGTGATAAGGTGGGAAATGCAAGGACATTTTTTATTACTTAACGTGATTTTACAGTATCAGGAAGAAGCTTTTGCTCTATGGTAACTCATCAATACTCTTGATTTACCATTGTTCATGTTAACACACTGGAATGCTAGAATATCTGGTGTTACTACTGGATGATAACTTGATGCACTCATTGAAAATTAAGCTTACCAGGTGCTTTAACAAATAGCTGTGCAAAAGTCATTTCCAGAGTGCAGAAAAATTGCAGTTGCAGTATTTTGCTTGTGTCACTAGAGCATTCATATTCACAAAGTCGTCATGTCCAAATTCTCTGCCTTTGCTAAAAAATTCCATGAATCCAATAGAATGGATGGGTACCTCTTGGGCACAATGGCTATGGACTGATCCCTGGCTCCTTATCCCTGTGCCAAACCCACAGACCTAGGTCAAAGAGCAGTCCAAGGTTATCCTTGTGCACATGTGAATTGTCATTGAGGATGTATGTTTTGAAACAATGGGAAGCCATTTGCTGTAACATCTGAGAAAACCATATTGTGGTGTCATCATCTCTACTGTTACACAACATTGCAATAGGAGATACGTTCCAAGCCCTGGCAAGTATATCAGAAGCTAGTGGGACAGGTGGAAGTGGGGCATGAAGCAGTCTTGATAAGAAGTATAACAACAATTCCACAGGCATGGCTGCAGGATAATACCTGATCAACAATACCTTAACCATTGAGCAACAGCTATAGCAAAACAGCACTTTGTTTGTTGACCAATTACTTAAAGATTGTGGAAGGTTTATTTTATTGCTATTTCCCTCTGCTTGTAAACTTGGTTAAAAATTCATATATGATTGTAGAAGAAAAACATTTGAACAGTCAACAACAAAAATAAAATTACATTTGGAAAGCGCCTTTCATGTCGGGAGTACGTCCCAAGGCATTCAACAGTCGGGGATCAGTCCAGCACACAAATGTAATTAAAATATATACATGCCTACTGTGTGCCTACCATCAGTTGGTATATTCTTTTCCAACCCAGTTACTTTTCCTCAGTGATTTTTCACCAAAGTGACAAGAAGATACATCTGACCAGAAAGGGGAGCTGACTTGGGAATGCAGGGATATCAAGTGTGTCCCTTGATGACAAAGATATTTAGGGAGAGGAGGATGGATAGTGTCCTCTCCCACCTGTACATTGATGTTGGCCTAAATGATGACCACCTCAATCCCTTTGTATGGGCACAAAGGTGGATTTTAGATGGGACGGGGCCTCGAGTTCCTTGGAATTACCTCAGTTTCCTCCATCACTTGTGATGTTGGATGGACTCTTGACAGCCTCCTTAATGACATTTCTGCCACCAAGGTTGGGAGGCCAACAACACCAAGTTGAATCTCCAAACCGGGGTGCAAGACCATGACATAGTAGTAGTGGCTGCACCATACTGAAGTCCTCCACCAATATCATCGCCACTCTCCTCTTTGTGAAACAGTGAAGGATTCATCATTGCCAAAGTTGTGGAAAAAGAATGGAGCCCACTCTCCTTATTTGGAACATCAACCGGCATTGCACGAATCGATGCTACTTATTTTTCCTGGACGTTCTTCAGAAATGGAAGTACTGATGAGATCTAGTAAGCTACGGCGCTTCCCATATTAAAGGTCCCATGGACTATTCAAAAGTGCCATGGCCAACAATCCTCCTTTTTACAACAACAAAATTACATTTGTAGAGCGCCTTTCACGTCGGGAGGACATCCCAAAGCGCTGAACAGTCATGTGTCGGGGCCCGAGCATGGGGGAGAGGGAGTGGTGTAGGGGTGAGGGAAGGCAGAGAGGTGGGAGGGAGACCAAAGGCACAGTCGAAGAGAAAGGTCTTGAGACCGACCTTGAAGGAGGCGAGGGAGGAAGCGAGGGGAAGGGACCGTGGGATGGAGTTCCAGAGTGTAGGGGCAGAGAGGCTGAAAGCCCGGCCACTGATGATAGGCCGGGTCAGATGGAAGACATGGAGCAGGCCGGAGCCCAATGAATGAAGGGAGTGGGCAGGCTCATAGGGAGTCAGCAGGTCAGAGAGGTAGGAGGGGGCAAGGCCATGGATGTCCTTAAAGGTGCGGATGAGGATCTTGAACTCGATCCTCTGGAGGATGGGGAACCAGTGGAGTCGGGCGAGGGTGGGAGTGATGGGGTCATGGAGCCTGGTGCGTGAGAGTACATGAGCTGTAGAGTTTTGGATGATCTGCAGCTTGTGGGAAGGCCGATGAGGAGGGAGTTCCCATAATCAAGCCTTGAGGTGACGAATGTGTGAGGGTTTCAGCAGCCTGAGGGGTGAGGCCGTGGCGGAGTCTGGCAATATTGCAGAGGTGGTGGTAGACAGTGCCAGTCATGGCGCAGATGTGGGTGAGAAAGGACAGTTCAGGGTCAAACATGATACCCAGGTTCCTGACTGGGGTTGAGTGTGCAGCCATGGAGGCTGATGCTGCCAGCGCCTGAGGTGCGGAGGTGCTGGCATGAGCCAATCAGGAGGGCCTTGGTCTTGCTGATGTTGAGTTCAAGCAAGTTGGCTCTTGTCCAGGACTTGATGTCGGACAGGCAGTCGGTCAGGACGCCAGTAGTCCTGGAGTTCAGGGTGGAGGCAGAGAGGCAAGATTTGGGTGTCATCCGCATACATGTGGAAATTTACCCCATGTCTGCGGATGACGTCACCAAGGGGAGCATGTAGACTGTGAAGAGGAGGGGACCGAGGACAGAGCCCTGAGGAATACCGCACGAGACAGTGCCGGGGCTGCAGGAAAAGCTGTTTACCGCGACGAAGTGAAGGCGTGAAAGGTAGGACCTGCACCAGTCAAGGACAGAGCCTTGAAGGTTGAGGTGGGAGGAGAGACAGTGGAGGAGGATTGAGTGGTCCACGGTGTCAAAGGCGGCGGAGAGGTCAAGGAGGACGAGGAGGCAGAGGGAGCCCTGGTCACACATGGTCAGGATGTCGTTTGTGACCTTGACCAGAGCAGTTTCTGTGCTGTGGGCAGCATGGAAATCCGATTGGAGGGGTTCATGGGGGGAGTGAGAGGGGAGGAAAGAGTGAAGCTGGGAGGCAACAGCTCTCTCAAGGACCTTGGATAGAAAGGGTAGATTTGAGATGGGCCGGTAGCTGGATAGCTGTGATGGGTCGAGGGAAGGTTTCTGCTGGGTGGGGGGTGATGGTGGCTGTTTTGAGTGGGGAAGGAACAGTGCCAGATGACAGGGAGAGGTTAATGATGTCCGCAAGTAGTGGGGCAAGAAGGTGGAGTTGAGATTTAAGGAGAGAGGTAGGGATGGGGTCGAGGGAGCAGGTGGTGGATTTTATGGAGGTTACCATGTTGAAGACAGAGGAGGGGGTGTCAGGTTCAAAGGTGTGGAAGGAGGGATGGATAATTGTCGGATGGGTAATTGTGTGGGGTGGGGGTAGGGAGGGGTTGGAAGTTGGGAGGGCAGTGGCAGTTGAGCGGATTCCCTCGATTTTGGACTCGAGGAAGTCCAGCATTTTATCGCAGTGAGAGTTGGAGGAAAGTATCTCCGAGGCATGTTGGGGAGGGCGAAGGAGCTGGTTAGTGGTGGAGAACAGGAGCCTGGGATTGCCTTTCGCCTCCAGGATTAACCTGGAATAGAAGGCTGATTTGGCTGAGGCGAGAATGGAGCGGTAGATCTTGATGAGGTCCAGCCAGATGTACCGGTGGACCGTTAGGCCAGACTTGAGCCAAATGCGTTCGGCAGACTGCACCTGGCCCTTAAGCAAGCGGAGGTGGCTGGTGAACCAGGGTGAGGATCGGGAGTAGGAGGCAGTTCGGGAGGTGAGGGGGGCAAGGACATCGAGTGTGGTGGAGAGGGTGCTGTGGAGAAGAGTAAGTGCAGCAAGTGGATTGTTGTGAGAGGTGGGCCAGAGGGGTGGAGATCAGAGGACTCCAGGGCACCGGAGAGGGATTGCGGGGAGATCTTCTTCCACAGCTGGTAAAAGATGGTGGTAGGTTTGGGGAGAAGGATATGGGAGTTGAGGGAGATGAAATGGTGGTCAGAGATGGCCTTGTCAGCGATGGTGACATCCGAGGCCCCGGGTGATCACCAGGTAGAGCGGGTGACCATGGATATGGGTAGCAGAGTGGATGTGGAGGGAGAGGTTGAGAGAGGAGAAGTCTGAGGAGATGGAGCAGGAGGAGGTGAAGTGGAGATTGAAATCACCTACGATGATGAGGCGGTCGGAGCAGAGGCAGAGGGAAGCAAAGAGGGTGGAGATGTCAGAGATGAAGGTGGGAGAGGATTTTGGAGGGCACAGTAAAGTAAGAGAATTTTCAGAGAGGTGGGAGGGATGGCAGAGAGTGAGGTGTTCGAAGGAGGGGAACGAGCCGGTGGAGTAGGGGGAAAGGGCAAGTGATGCCCTGGATATGAGGGCCACACCACCGCCACGACATGGGGCATGGTGGTAGGTGTAGCCGGGTGGTATGGCCTCAGTGAAGGGGAAGGTGTCACCTGGGGTGATCCAGGTTTCTGTGAGGGCCATAATGTATATGTTCTCATTGAGGATGAGTTCATTAATGGCCAGGGTCTTGTTGGAGATGGAGCGGACATTTTGAAGTCCAAAGCAGAGTGGACAGTTGGCAGGGGGATGTGTGGGATGGGAGGGGGTAGTGGAATGGTTGAGAGGGAGGGTGGGGATGCTGATGAGGGAGGAGAGGTTAGGCCCCGGGGTCAGGGTCCGGGATGGCTTGCGGCAGTAGTGGGGAATGGGGCAGTCGGTGCGGCTGCTGCTGGACAGCCAGCGCCGAGTACCACGATGAGCCCGGCGGATGATTCCTAGGCTGGAGCAGAGGCAGGTGTCAAGCAGAGATAGGAGGCGGGGACGGCGGAGAGAGAGCAGGACAGAGTTGCAGGGAGGGGGCATTTTGAGGGAGGGCCAGCTCGGGTCGGGGGCGGCAGCCAAGATGCGCTCGCTGGGACAAGAGGCGGTGGGTTTAGTAGGACATTGTCAGCTTGCAGGAGGCTGTGGGGCCTTGAGTTGGCACATGGGAGGAGGGCGCTCATTGTGGATAGCAACGAGCAGCCTGCAGGGGAAGGACAGGACAGACAGACAGACAGACAGAGGGTGGGAGGGAGACAAACAGACACTGGTACAGGCTGTACTCTCCTGTGCTGTTCTAATCTGTAGGTATTACCAGGGATTCAAACCTGGCGGGCGGAAGTGACGTCACGCATAATGGCGGGGAAAAACTAAAATGGCGGCTCCCCCTGACCGGTAATGGCCGCCGCTCGATCCCCGCGACACCCGCCCTATCTAAAGATCCACGAGACCCCTAGCCCAGCCGGCAGTTACTGGCCCCTGCCTCTGGCTACCGCTGGTCCGATCTCCGGGACCCCAGCCCCTGCCTTTAGCTAACGCTGGTCCCGATCCCTGGGACCCCGGCCCCCGCTCTCACTAGCCCTAGTCCCAATCCCTGTGAGACCAGTCCTGTGACTCCCGCTGCTGCCTGACTTACCTTCCGTGAGTCCTGGAATTGGTTCTTTACCTTGGGTTTTTTGGGGGGGGAATAAAAGAACTGTTTACCTAGCAGTAAGTAGGAACCCGGTTGTTTGTCAATTGCTTTTCCGGGGGCAATAATCCCTTAAAAAAAAATTGGTCACTCAATCCACTTCTATTTTTGATGCTATGACACTGCTGTACATAATTGGCTGCTGGGTTTCACCCACAAAACATGCAGCCAATTCACTTTACAGTATATTCTGTGAAGCACTTTGGGATGTCTCAAAGCCGTGATAAGGTGCTATAATAAATGTAAGGATTATTATAATTATTTGTAGGACTTAACTGCTGCATTTGGCTAGTGTATTTGTCAACAAATTTAGTTAATACATTGACAATAATTATCT